GCCACCGCTTTACCCCGCAGACCTCACGCGGGGTGCAGGAGTTCCACGCCCTTTAGAGATAGCGACAGCTTCATGAGAGAGGCCTTCATCCAGCAGTGGATTGATCACGGTTGATCATGATTGTGAACTCTCAACGTCTGAAACGTTAATCTCATGTCTATGCATGTCTTGTGAAACAATGTTTTGGTAATTACGTAGACGATAAAAAAAAATGTTGTTCCACCACCGTGCCGTCGCCTCCACTACTGCCCAAAGCTTTCCCTGGAAATAATGTATAGACTCTGCCATATCGCCCAATCTCGTGCTGCACCACAACGCTCGCAACAGTGTGTTGACCCAAGTAATAAGAACTTCAAAAATCTAACTAATCCCCACTGACCGCAAGGACCTAATATTAGACACGAATGCGTGTGTACATATTAAGACACTAAAATTCTGTTTACAGGAATATGATTTGGCACAATATTGAGTCAGGCTCGCAAACGATATAACTGAGTGACGAATGCACAGAGATTGTTGGTATACGTAATGAACTTAGTAGAACCATGGTTGACTTTGGGGGGGGGGGGGCGGCCCGGGGGGTCCTTATCATTTTCACAAGCACTTTCCACGCCATGAAATGCATAATGGTTTTCTAGGAATTGTTGGGTGTCCACTGGTAGTACGAATGTTCGTCAAGCCCAGGGTTTGCTAAAGATTGTCCGGAATGGCGTGGGCTTGTTGCGGCCTTACGCTCCACAGGCATCGAAAGAGGAGTAAGTAAGTAAGCCCAGGGTTATTGATACTTTGTATAAGGAGCTACGTGTGCCACCCACAACTGGATTGGGACAAGGGGGTGCAAATTTGGAATGCGCAAACACGAGCTGATTTAACATTTTCCACTTGTTATTAAATAGCCAAACGGTGTTGGGATTATTGTAAACTGTGGCAACCCGTGTGGAATGCGATGGAGCCCTTGGACCAGATTTGCAACTGAGCTGTACACGTGAAGGGGGCAGCAGTGGAATGAGAAAGAGCTGTACGTGCACGTGACCCATCCACAATGATGGTGAGGACATGTTAGTCTTATGATGGTTCTGCAAACGTTGTTTATAGTCAACAAGTGCCCACCGCCACATGTGTAGTGACATCGCGGATGGCATAGGGTAATGCCTGCTCCAGCGAGGCACAGCGTGCGCTGTATTACCATCGCTGACACCCCGTACATGTGGGTGTAGTACCAGCCCTAGAGGGGGCTCGGTGAGCGCTGGGTCATAGCGCTCAGTGGCACCACGCGTGACGTGCAGTGCCGACCCCTACAGGATGGGGTGTGAGAGTGTCAGCCATGGAATGATGTTACCCCAGGCCATGGCACTGGTTGACCCTGGAAGGCACGTGACGGGTAAGGTCTACACAGGGGCCCCAAGTGGGGGCTGGGGGTGGTCATGTGCCGGGGCGAGATGCTGCTGAAGGGTTCGAGGGAGGATATCAGCTGGGTCCCCCCGAAGGACCGGGGTTCAACGTTGCTGTTGTCATCTGAAGAATCTACGTTCTACGTCCAAGAAAAAGTCACCAACACGTGGACCTGGACCCAAGCTCGGGTCTGGTCTGTTATAGCTACTCCCAGCAGTGTGATTAGTGTAGTTAGCCTGGTGGTCCACCACTATAGTGTGTAGTTAGCCTGGTGGTCCACCACTATAGTGTGTAGTTAGCCTGGTGGTCCACCACTATAGTGTGTAGTGTAGCCTGGTGGTCCACCACCATAGTGTGTAGTGTAGCCTGGTGGTCCACCACCATAGTGTGTAGTTAGCCTGGTCGTCCACCACCATAGTGTGTAGTTAGCCTGGTGGTCCACCACCATAGTGTGTAGTGTAGCCTGGTGGTCCACCACCATAGTGTGTAGTTAGCCTGGTGGTCCACCACTATAGTGTGTAGTTAGCCTGGTGGTACACCACTATAGTGTATAGTTAGCCTGGTGGTCCACCACTATAGTGTGTAGTTAGCATGGTGGTCCACCACTATAGTGTGTAGTTAGCCTGGTGGTCCACCACTATAGTGTGAAGTTAGCCTGGTGGTCCACCACCATAGTGTGTAGTTAGCCTGGTGGTCCACCACCATAGTGTGTAGTTAGCCTGGTGGTCCACCACCATAGTGTGTAGTTAGCCTGGTGGTCCACCACTATAGTGTGTAGTTAGCCTGGTGGTCCACCACCATAGTGTGTAGTTAGCCTGGTGGTCCACCACCATTGGGTGTAGTGTAGCCTGGTGGTCCACCACCATAGTGTGTAGTGTAGCCTGGTGGTCCACCCCCATAGTGTGTAGTGTAGCCTGGTGGTCCACCCCCATAGTGTGTAGTGTAGTCTGGTGGTCCACCCCCATAGTGTGTAGTTAGCCTGGTGGTCCACCACCATAGTGTGTAGTTAGCCTGGTGGTCCACCACCGTAGTGTGTAGTTAGCCTGGTGGTCCACCACTATAGTGTGTAGTGTAGCCTGGCGGTCCACCACCATAGTGTGTAGTGTAGCCTGGTAGTCCACCACCATAGTGTGTAGTTAGCCTGGTGGTCCACCACCATAGTGTGTAGTTAGCCTGGTGGTCCACCACCATAGTGTGTAGATAGCCTGGTGGTCCACCACCATAGTGTGTAGTTAGCCTGGTGGTCCACTACTATAGTGTGTAGTTAGCCTGGTGGTCCACCCCCATAGGGTGTAGTTAGCCTGGTGGTCCACCACTATAGTGTGTAGCTAGCCTGGTGGTCCACCACTATAGTGTGTAGCTAGCCTGGTGGTCCATCACCATAGTGTGTAGTTAGCCTGGTGGTCCACCACCATAGTGTGTAGTTAGCCTGGTGGTCCATCCCCATAGTGTGTAGTTAGCCTGGTGGTCCACCACTATAGTGTGTAGTGTAGCCTGGTAGTCCACCACCATAGTGTGTAGTTAGCCTGGTGGTCCACCACCATAGTGTGTAGTTAGCCTGGTGGTCCACCACCATAGTGTGTAGTTAGCCTGGTGGTCCATCACCATTGGGTGTAGTGTAGCCTGGTGGTCCACCACCATAGTGTGTAGTTAGCCTGGTGGTCCACCACCATAGTTTGTAGTGTAGTCTGGTGGTCCACCACCATAGTGTGTAGTGTAGCCTGGTAGTCCACCACCATAGTGTGTAGTTAGCCTGGTGGTCCACCACCATAGTGTGTAGTTAGCCTGGTGGTCCACCACCATAGTGTGTAGATAGCCTGGTGGTCCACCACCATAGTGTGTAGTTAGCCTGGTGGTCCACCACTATAGTGTGTAGTTAGCCTGGTGGTCCACTATTATAGTGTGTAGTTAGCCTGGTGGTCCACCCCCATAGGGTGTAGTTAGCCTGGTGGTCCACCACTATAGTGTGTAGCTAGCCTGGTGGTCCATCACCATAGTGTGTAGTTAGCCTGGTGGTCCACCACCATAGTGTGTAGTTAGCCTGGTGGTCCACCACTATAGTGTGTAGTTAGTCTGGTGGTCCACCACCATAGTGTGTAGTTAGCCTGGTGGTCCACCACCATAGTTTGTAGTGTAGTCTGGTGGTCCACCACTATAGTGTGTAGTTAGCCTGGTGGTCCACCACTATAGTGTGTAGTGTAGCCTGGTGGTCCACCACCATAGTGTGTAGTGTAGTCTGGTGGTCCACCACCATTGGGTGTAGTGTAGCCTGGTGGTCCACCACCATAGTGTGTGGTGTATCCTGGTGGTCCACCACCATAGGTTGTTATCCGGTAAAGGGGCATTTACCCCCTTGTGTTGGTATCAATAAATGTGTTGCCTCCAAAGAGTACGTCTGCGACTCAGTTGAATCCACTTCACATGTGTAATTGTATCACTTGTGATTGAATGAACTTGTATCACGGTGCAAAAGGTATCACAGCGCATATCCCCCTCTTGGGCGGCTGGTTCGGCGAGAGGCATTGCCCTGAGTGTTATTGTTGATGTCCTTCCCCCGCACCTCCGATTGGCCACGGTTGGCTACGTTCCAATGCGAAAGAAGTCCCACACACATTGAGGGCAGTGGTCCGCAGTATGGGACGATGACCTATGCAAGCGATTTGTAGGTAATTTTTCATATTTGTCCCAATATTAATTGAGATTGACGTATATGTTCTTCGTGGTGGGATATGGGCAGGGGGGAAACCGGAAGAACTCGGAGGGAACCCACGCAGCATAGGTGGAGGGGACAGGGGGAGGAGACTTATTTGGGTGTTTCGGTAAAGTCACGTAGATATAGGTTCAAAGAAAATAACAAAAAAACTACGACGTTTCGATCGCAACACAAGCGATCGTCATCAAGGAAATTAGATCTCTAAAAAAATATACAAGCGAGTGATAGCCACATATCGGACCTTGACCCTACTTCCTTTACTGCTCAAAGTAATAGTGAAGTGTCCAAAAAGTCTGAAACACCATGGCGAGGACTGAAACCACCAGCGGGATTGACAAAACACCGTAAATTATAATAATACGAATAACAGCAATGACTTATATGCTCGTAGTATTGTATAATAATCATAGGAACAATGCGGTAATTGCCCTTTGCTATCCAAACGCCAATTTAGGCGTTTTCAGGAGGGGTCTTCTTGTGGCTGCTACGTTTTTTGGCCAATTCCGTTCGTGAAAGCATTTCGCAAGAAAAAAAAGTGGGGAAAACTCCACCAAAAATCATCCACGTTGTGTAAGAAGAAAGAAAAATCTAATGAATAATCATTGTAAGCGACTGGTCGTGGTGGTGGTGGTGGTGAAACGCGGTTCCCCTCGATGTCGTCTTTCAGTGACACGCTCAGAGGTTCTCGGGCGGCGAGATTTTGTAATGAGATCCGGAGGAGGTCAAGCAGTGGAAGTGGCGGGGGTTAAACAAACCAAACCAAGCTCGTTTCAACACTGCCACAACCCACATCCTGGTAGGCGTGAGCGGGTCACAATTATAAAAGAACGGTTTAATGCATTTTACTTTCGGTATGTATAGCGGTCACCGAACACGAGAAGGTAAGAGCTCATTTGTAGTAGCACGACGCAGGCTTTTGTTCCAGGCACTGCACGAAACGTTGTCTGTTTTTTTATTTTTCTTCTTCTTAGGGAAGTGTTATCGATGAATGTGGTGAGTTAATTTTGTGTTCGTGTGGGAGTGTGTTTGCGTTTAATGGGACTTTGAGTTTTACCGGGTGATTATGTTGGGAAGGAAGTGTGTATTGTTGTGCGCTGTGTGTGTGTGAATTCAGGAACTTAGGAAGTTGAGGGTTAATTTTCTTTGATGTGAAAGAAAATGCACCCAACTGATATTTCTGTAGGTCACATTGAATGCAGCAGCAGCACAGCTTTTGTAACGCTAGTGAATAAAAAAAAATCATTGCCAAAACTTAAAATAAAAAAAACAAAATACAGCAGTGCGTATGGACGATATCACTCGCCGCCGACGATGTCACTCGCCGCCGACGATGTCACTCGCCCCCGATGTTAGCCGAGCCGGGCTATGAGCGGTGATTGCTCCGTGGTGCTGCTGTTGCTTGTCACATTTGCCCATCCAAAGTTGAATTCCTGAACACATTGTGTTGCCGCCGATTGGAAGCACCTATTGTCTATTTTATATTCCTAATCACAAGATGCGGCGTATCTATGGGGTTTGTTTTACAGAGGTGATATTATTCCACGTGCTCATAAGTTACCGCCCTTTCTCAGCATTTAACCCAGACAGTAAAAATGCATTATGTAAAAAAACGACCATAATGTAGGTCAACCCACATGTTTAAACCGCTCTTCTGTAATAACGACGACGAACTAAGATGACTGTCCCCGTGAACTTCACTCGTGGATTCCACACCCATGCCGTAGGGCACGGTGCACCAGACTGACAGTCGTCCCGTCCGGATTGTGCTCACCCATCACCGGATTGTGCTCACCCATCACCGGATTGTGCTCACCCATCACCGGATTGTGCTCACCCATCACCGGATTGTGCTCACCCATCACCGGATTGTGCTCACCCATCACCGAATTGTGCTCACCCATCACCGGATTGTGCTCACCTATCACCGGATTGTGCTCACCCATCACCGGATTGTGCTCACCCATCACCGGATTGTGCTCACCCATCACCGGATTGTGTTCACCCATCACCGGATTGTGCTCACCCATCACCGGATTGTGCTCACCCATCACCGGATTGTGTTCACCCATCACCGGATTGTGCTCACCCATCACCGGATTGTGCTCACCCATCACCGCACTGTTCGACTCTGCCCTCCCACTCGCCGCCTCCCTGACCAGCTGTGCGAGCCATGGAGTGTGTAGTCGGTGCATCTGCGCCGGGCGTTCAGGAAGCCAGAGGAGGAACCTCCGGGGTATTGGATTACCGACGTGGATGACTAACAAGTGGAGATTCAGGTTTTGTGTTTCAATGGATTCCTGCTGTGTGTGTGTGTTTACGTGACAGAGGAACGCGATGACCCTGCGCTGGATGTCGCTGCTTCTGCTGCAGCTGCTGCTGAACCTTGCGGCAATGGGAACGCACGCTGATGGTAGGCGCGTGCGATGCGTGTGGATCGAGAACGCGTGAACCGTTTGTGAATCTGGGCGGCAGGGTGGCGATGCCTGTGCCTCGCAGCAAGAGGAGGCGTCCCGGGTCGGGTTGCCAACTCCGGCCACGTTCTCTGTGGAGTTTGTATGTTCTTCCCCATATTCTGCGTAAGTTTAATCCGGATTCAACAGTTTCCTCCCTTAGGTATTTAGTATTATTATAATATAAATACATACACGAAAAATAAGAATAGGTTTTAGCCCTTCTGGTAATAAAAGAGGCGTTAAGATGTTTAAACACCTACATAGAAACTTTTCAAGGCATAAAGTTTGTATTAACCACGCGTAGCTGTGGTGAACATGCAAACAAATACATGTCTGCAGCATGCGCTACGCCCATTTCAAACCTTCATAAATACGTTGCCTTTAGAAGCTAACCCCCTTTTCCTGATGACGACCGCTTGTGTTGCGATCGAAACGTCGTAGTTTTTTGTTATTTTCTTTGAACCTATCTACGTGACTTTACCGAAAGACCCAAATAATATTAATTCCTGCAGTCACGAAAGCTTTAAGTCAAGATCCTTTTGACGGTCACGGAACATGGAAACCCTAACATCACTTGCCAGGAGATTCCACTGCTGCAGTCTGGAGCCCAACAGCTCTGCCACCTTACTCTTGGGTAGTTCCAAATCCCTGACAAGGTCTTTCAGTTCACCTTGGGCTATGAGATGTGGTTCAGAGGAGGAGGAGGATGGGAGAAAATCTGGGTCATGTGACCTTGATGGTTCAGGACAAGAAGTTTCATCCTCTTCCTCGTCTGACTCAAGTGAGAATGATTCTGGTGCATCAGGAACCGGCAGTCCTTCTCCGCAGGGTACTGGGCGTACAGCTGATGGAATGTTTGGATAATGCACAGTCCACTTTGTCTTCTTTGACACACCTTTCCCAACTGGAGGCGCCATGTAGAAGTAACTTGCTGATGTGATCTGTTGGCTTTCTCCAAATCCTTGGCACTGCAAATGGTATATATTTCCTTTTCCTATTCAACCACTGGCGAAGATTGTTGGACAAGTGTTGCAGCATATGTGTGGGGCCCACATCTTGTCCTGATCTCAAATTTTGCAGCCAAAACAAAGGTGATAGGCTTTCTTAACCATAGTGGTTATACTGCGCTTGTGTGATGCAAAATTCACTTCACCACAAACATAGCAGAAGTCATCTATACTCTTTGTTTTTTTCGGTAAAGTCACGTAGGTAAAATAAAATAAAACAACTAAATTAAATCACGACGTTTCGGAGGCAACACAAGCTTCCGTCTTCAGGTGGAACAGTCACAGCAGAATATCTGTGTCAAGTGGACAGCTCTGAGACAACCGGGATTATATACAGGTATTCTGCTGTGACTATTCCACCTGAAGACGGAAGCTTGTGTTGCCTCCGAAACGTCGTGATTTAATTTTGTTGTTTATTTTATTTTACCTACGTGACCTTACCGAAAAAAACAAAGAGTATGAATCCTTGCAGTCACGAAAGCTTCAAATCCAGAAGTCATCTACTTTGTTCACACAAGTACGAGGCATCTCTGCCCACGTCGGCTAAACAGAAATGTGTCCCTTTGCAAAACCAAACACAGACAAATAAAAGAACACGACACTGTATGGTTTCCAGAGCTGATATGGGGCAATTTGTTCAGCAGAGAGATGTAAGCCTAGTTGTGATTGCATCACCCATGACTTCTAGGAATAACACGATTCAATTCATATCATGTATGATGGAATACAAGGTTCAGATTGCATTATTCTTAGTTTTGCTCAAAAAGCAAGTACTGTCCAAACCCAGTCATAGATTTAGTTATAGATCCAGTCAAAGGTGTATTTTAGTAATTTCTGGTTTAGATTGAGATCCCTTCCCTTTATAACGCACTTATCCTCCGCCATTCCCAATTCAAGGGTCGTATATATTGACCCAGTAGCATATCTTATAAACTAGAGCCAATCAGCAATTTTAAGCATCATTTTCATTTTCAGTGATCCAGACTTAGTAAAGTTGGACTGCATTTATTTCTGAAGCATTTTGGCTGTAGACACGTGTCATGTATGCGTGTTTGTTTGCATGTTCATCGGAAGTATGTGGTTAATGCAAACTTGATTCCTTTCAAAAGGTTTCTATTTGGCGTTTGAACATCTTGACACCTGTTTAATGGCATAAAAGGGTAAACCCTATTCTTATTTTTCACACTTTGATAATGGCAAAAAAATGTTTTTACATGGTAATCATACTACATATGTATGTAGTTGAACTTCTTTCGCACCGTACGTAGCCAACCGTGCTAATCGGAGGTGCGGGGGAAGATCAACAAACTAAACACAAAAAGCAGATGTAACTGGTGTTGTGATTCATGATTACAGTTTACTTTGGGTTAGATCGTGTTAGGTATGACGTCAGTTACTTCACGACAACCCCTCTGCCACCAGACAGCACCAATCAAATCAGGATGTCACGTGGGTCAATATGCCAATCGATGTTTTTTTCCAGCAAAACCGAAATGTTGAAAACCAAGAAAAACTTTTGACATTTTTATAGTGAAGGGTTATAGTTCGGCTTTACCGGCAAAATACGTAATTATTAAAAGTTGCACGTGAGACAATGAGAAGACAGATTTATCCTCTTGTATGAGATCCTCGTGTGCCCCGTGTCTTTGTTTATCATTCATTCACGCGTTCATACTTGGGCCAGGCTGATGCGTCGGCGAATATTGATTATTGACCCAAACGATACACATCATCCCATCATGTGCGGTACAAAAGACGTCCAACATACATGCTCCAAGAATCTTCCCATAGTTATTATGTAAATCGCATGCCAATGGTATTGTGATGTTGGCACGTAGGCTTTCACGACCAATATTATTCATAATAAAGGTTGTTGGGTTATATCGCGTGAGTATAAATGTGTCGTATAACCCATCACCACCCGACACGGCCAACCAGTGACAAACCTTACTGGTTGGCTGTGTCGGTTGGTGGCGGCATTGTGAACATTACGTCAATAATAAATACAATAACCGATACGGTGCAGGGAGACGGAGGATGGAGAGAGAACGAGACAAACGAAACGGGGCAACGAATTGAGTGAGGATGAGTAGCAGACGAACATGCAGCACAAACGAGAGGGGGTGTACAAAACAGAGTGCAGGATGAGACAAAACGGCTGGGCACACGATGGTGCCGGCGTGACATTACACGAGCAGCAGGCTCACGACCAGGGCTGTGGTTCACCTTTGGGCCCAGGTGAATTTGAAGTTCATTTTTGTCTTAAATCGGGTGAGCTGAGAACTCTCGCGAGACGTCAAATGACCGGTGGTCGCACAATAACAAAAGTACCATCATGCAACGATTAGAATTTGGAGCAAAAAAAAAAACCCACTCTATTCCAGGAGACTTTGAAAACTGTGCACAAACATAAACTATGCAAAATTCAATCACATTTTCAGTAACAAAAGTTGGATTGGACAAATTAATTTTAGAAAACCACACCCATTCATAGTAAAGTTAAGTTACGGAAACAATGGAATCGATTTTGGGTGATTATTGAACTTGTGATATCTACACAGCAGGCAGGAATACACAGGACAGTAAGTCCACTATGGGAAAGGAGACAGGGAGATGTAAGATCGGCAGAATGAGAGAGACATTAGTAGAAGACGCATTACAGTTAAATATACATTGTTATTTTGGTCAATAATGGGGTTTTCTTGTAAGAAAATGCACGACGATTCATTTTGATTTGTATTATTATGGACCGTCGTGACTTACATGACCATAAGAATAAAAATGCAATAAGTACTCGCTGAACAACATTGTTCTCACAGTCTACATTTCTTCACGCGGGATCTTTTAAAATTGTGGGTGCGTGTGTGTCTGTGTGCGTGTGTGTCAGTGATGGGGAGCGGTGGTGTAGTGGTTAGCGCTACGCTGCGCTACGAACCCGGCGGCCCAGGTTCGATTCCTGCTCACGGCCAACACCGGTGACGGATTATCTGAACCGGTCCCGGGCTTCTCCTAAGTCGACTCAGCCTCAAATGAGTACCTGGCGCGATGTGTAAACATCGCCACTGGGGAGACAAAGGGGGCCGAGTGTGGTGCTGGCCACCCACCCCCTCGTGTGCCACAGTACCGGCCTTCAATAGGTGCTCGCTAACAGCACTTGTCCCTACAGTCTGTTAGAGGCTTTACGGGTGGGTGGGGGGCGGGGGGGTCTTTGCGTATTTTTGTTGTGTCGGTGTGCACATTTAAAAATAAAAGTGAGATTGTAATTGTATTTCATTGTGTGTCCGTCGTTCCAGTTCCTCTGTCGCGAGAGCCCAAAACGCGAGCCCAAACAATGCCGATCTTCTACAAGTTCACGGTCACGGAGAATGAGAATGTTGGGCAAAGCGAATTGATCTGCACGTGTTTTTCATTCCTGGGATTTCAGGATGGAATCAACAGAATTGATTCTAATGTAAGTGGCGGCGGTGGTGGTGGTCGTGGTATTGGTGGCGGTGGCGGTGGTGGTCGCGGCGGTGATGATAACACTGTGTAACTATTTTTTTTGTTCCTGGGCAGTAAGTGTTTTTTCTAATTGCTTATGTCTCAAAAGTACAGAAAATGGCGATTATTCCCCACAAACTTTGCTTTTGTGACCAGGAAAGTGATATTTAGAATTTGTATCTATTTTCAATGAGAAAACGGGCGAATTTGTCAGAAAACAACAACATATGAATCAAAATTAACATGTATTTATACTAAAGTAATACAAAAAATACGACAAAAGATTTAGACACCAACGCACATTACCACAGGCGGGACTGGCCACAGCGGACCGAGTTCTCTGTGGGGAGGAACAACGTCAAGTGGGAGCCACTGGTGGACCCCCAGAAGGTGCTGATGCCACCACTGCACATAAAATTGGGCCTTCTGAAACAATTTGTCAGAGCTGTAGATAAGGAGTCGGCAGCCTTCAAGTACCTTCAAGACTTCTTCTCTAAGCTGTCTGAGGCAAAGGTCAAAGCCGGTGTCTTCGTCGGACCACAGATAAACAAGATCCTGAAGTGCAATGAATTCCCAAAGAAGCTCACTAGTAAGGGGAAAGCGGCTTGGAACAGGTTTGTCGCAGTGGTTCGTGGCTTCCTGGGCAATCACAAGGTCGAAAACTGTGGAGCTGGTTGAGACTCTGATGAAGAACTACGGCACAATGGTCTGTAGGATGTCCCTCAAAGTCCATATCCTTGATGCTCATCTTGATAAATTCAAGTAGAACATGGGAGCGTACTCGGAGGAGCAAGGCGAGTGCTTCCACCAGGATAAACTGGACAGTATAACTATAACTAGAACATGATGGGAGACTACATTTGGGGGCTGATTCGTGAAAGTGATTTACAGCATCATTGCAAATCTCGAAAAACTACTCACTTCTAAATCTTTTGTAGTCATTTTTGTATTACTTTAGTATAAATACATGATAATTTTGATTCATGTGTTGTTTTTTCTGACTTTATGTGAGCGAAAAGACAAATTCACCTGTTTTCTCATTGAAAATAGGTCAATTTCAAAATATCACTCTCATGGTCACATGACAGGCACGCTATATACAAGCTGTGTAATTAAAACGGGACTTTTGTGATCATTAATGCATGCACTTGTTGTGTTAAACGCTAACAATGACCGTGGCCATGTTGTGTTTTATTTTGTTGCAGACTAATCTACCTTTCCGCCATGACTATGACCCTAGCAGAAACCTGACCCTCAAAGTGCTCTGCACGGATGCGGTGGAATGTTTCAGCGACGATTATGAAGACGACTATGAGGCTCCCAGTGTGCTGTGGAATGAAACGCTTGAAATCAGGGTCAAAGGTTCATATGATCCATTTCCGAAAGACTCGCTGAATGCTCTTTTTTAACGGGTCTTGACACGTTTTTGCAGGGGGGGGGGGGTGTGATATTGGCGCTGTGACTGTGATCTCCATTGGAAACCTCATTTGCCAGTAACAAAATATGATAATTGGTTTTTTACCCTTTTATCTGGCAACAAAACAGTTTTGTTACTGGCAAATGAGGTTTCCAATGGTGTAAATGCTTACCCTGAGCTCTCATACTCTGATGGTGCATTGTCTTTGAGTTGTGTGCCTTTTGGCGTCTTCTGGTCCAACACCATGTGAGACGAGGCTCTAAAGAAAGCTGTCTCGGGTGTGGACCAATCAACTTCAAGGGCAGTGCCACATACATTATCAGAGTTGTTGTTTTTTGTTTGCTTTCCGACCGCAGGTATTGTGGTCAATGTAAACATGACTCCTTGTAAAAAAGGTGTCAGTTTTGTTGACTGTGATCTCATTTGAGTAATTTGCAGGTAATCTTTTAGCATTGAGATATTTCGCTAATGCTGGTTACTACTTACTACTATTTGATTTTCCGAGGTAAGGCCCATTGAGCTATGTAGCTCTCTTTTCAGAAGCCACCTGGCCACAAATTATAGCTCAATAAAGTGGCTTATCATTTGGACATTTAAAGCAGCAAAAAAAATCTAAAGGCATGCAGTAAAACCTTGGATTGCGAGCATAATTCGTTCCGGAAACGTGTTTGTAATCCAAAGCACTCGTATATCAAAGCACTCGTATATCAGTTGTGATCACGTGACGCTCGGCAGACAAAGCGTATACGTACTACTCGTATTGCAAGACATCGCTCGTTTATCAAGTTAATTTTTTATTGCTCGTCTTGCAAAACACTCGCAGACAAAGTTACTCGCAATCCAGGGTTTTACTGTATTTCCAAATGTGGAGGGAACATCCACTTGACCACGGGGAGAGAGACACGCAAACTCCAAATGTGCAGCAGGCGTCATGGTCGGGATCAAACCACCGACCTCCTGCATAGCAGGCGAGGAAGATGACATCTGACCACCGTGGCGCCCCTTCTAGTATTAGTTTCCATTATTTCACCCGATATTTAACCACGAGATGAAATGTAGATTGAGTGGGAGGCATGAAACAACATCGCCTGTTTTGCAAGGGCGATTTGGGTTACATCAAGCTGTTTTGAATCAACATAATAATTTAAACATTCTCAATATAACACATCTAGACAATGTACAATGATGTTGTATACATTTGAAAAAGGCTAAATAAAGGAGGTTGCACTTTAAAATGATAAGTATGTAAGAAATGCACGTAAAATAATTTCTGGATGGAGCAGTAGATTACCTCACTGTCCGAGGAATCCTGTCGCCTGAGTTCGATTCCCGACCACGTCTAACATTAATGACAAGGGGTGTCTCAACCATCCTAGGCCCCCTACCAACCTGCCCCGATCGGTGTGAAGCCACGGTGGTTAGGAGATGTTAACTCCCTCGCCTGCTTAGCAGGAGGTCGTGGGTTCGATCTCCAACATGATGCCTGCTCATAGTATAGGTTTTTGGGTTAGATCGCGTTATTTATAAATGTGTCGTAACCATCCACCAGCCGACACGGCCAATCAGCAAAAAAAATCGATTATATAATTACAATACCCCCCCCCTCCGCCTCAAATCACTGCACCTGATATGAGTTAAATGATGACGTCACCCTGCTGCTCTATTTAAGACCTGGAGCAAGCGAGGGCTTTACCATTCTGGCGAATTGCCCGATGATGCTGGATGTAATTACCAGCGAAACGTCGTACTCAAACTGTAAATGTTGTGGATTCACTCTTCAACACACCGGTGGGCTAAAGTAGTGAACTATTTGTCTTTTCTCAACGTGACACTTTTTTTGATGATTGGCCGTGTCGGGTGGTGGAGGGTTACGACACATTTATAAATAACGCGATCTAACCCACAAACCTTTATTATAATATTGGTCGCGAAAGCCTACGTGTTAAAATGATGCCTGCTGCTGTATATTTGGAGTTTGCGTGTCTCTCTCCCCGTGGTCACGTGGATTTTTCTGCAGGTCCTCTGGTTTTTCCCTCCACATTTAGAATCAACATCACCACACGTTTAGAGTGTTTGGCTGCTAGACATTTCCACGTGATGATAAACCACTTCGTTAAGCCTTCATTTGCAATAGCCAGGTCGCTTCTGGAAAACGAGCCACGTCGCTCAGTGGGCCTTACCTGGTAAAATAAAAAAAAATAGTTTATAGTTTTAGTAAAATAAAAAATAGTTTATAGTTTTAGTAAAATAAAAAATAGTTTATAGTTTTAGTAAATAAAAAAATTGTTTATAGTTTTAGCAAAATAAAAAAAAATTGTTTATAGTTTTAGTAAAATAAAAAATAGTTTATTGTTTTAGTAAAATAAAAAATAGTTTATAGTTTGAGTAAAATAAAAAATAGTTTATATATTCTTAGTTTTTTCGGTAAAGTCACGTTGAAGAGAAACAACGTGACTTTACCGAAAAAACTAAGAATATGAATTACTGCAGTCACGAAAGCTTTAAATCAAAATTTAAATAGTTTATAGTTTTAGTAAAATAAAAAAAATAGTTTATAATTTGAGTAAAATAAAAAATAGTTATTGTTTTGGTAAAATAAAAAATAGTTTATAGTTTTAGTAAAATAAAAAATAGTTTATAGTTTTAGTAAAATAAAAAATAGTTTATATTTTTAGTAAAATATGGTCAAACAGTCCATTGTGACCAACACAGCACATGGGAGGCCTGCATCCATCAGTGGCTTGACAAAATGGCTGCAAGTGGTAAAATGTTTTTAGATACACGGGTACAAGCATGACCGAGGTCTTAAAACACCGTGACGTCTACAACGCATTGTCCCCCCCCCCCCCAATATAGGGGAAGAGAACACAAATGTTGTTGGCTTCGACTGCAAGTACACCAGGAAGAATGTCAACTGCTCGTGGTCGCGTGGTCACCTGGCTCCGGCCGACACCGTCTACAAGATGTTCTATCAGTGAGCAAACCATCGCTTCGACGCGCAAACGCCACGAGGCTCGCGCACCCAACATTGCGGGTCGCCAGGGGTTAGGGGAACACAGGTGCTCCTGTTGGCGCTGTGAGGCGCACGGCTTGACGGTGCTTTGGAGAGTTTGTTTGTTTGTCGCTTTTGCTGTCGTCTCGCTGGCCTGCAGCTACAAAGACATCGAGGTGCAAGAGTGCCCGACCTACATTGTCAAGTCCGGCCTGAGAGTCGGCTGCTACTTCACTCCCGACGAAAAGGCGCGCTCGGTGGAGCACCACTTTTACGTGAACGGCACGAGCAGCAGCAGCAGCAGCAGCAGCGTCGCCATCAGACCATTCTACCTCAAGGCGTTCCCCGCCTCGCTGTGTACGTGCGGTACTGACCACGGAGATGCAGGTTCCTGCTTTGTGACCATTTCTTCATTTGAGGCGTTAGCCACCACTCACGAAACAAAAAGGCCACTGGATGGCTAAGTGAGGGTAGGTGTATGTGTGTGTGAACCATGCCTGTCAACCCCTTGTCAGTGCCCTACCTTATTACAGACCGAATTCAGACCTTATTGGTCACCCCGTGGCCTTATAAATCTCAACGTTCATCCTACAAAGTCCCATCACAAGCGAGAAACACAAACGAACAGACAAACACACATTCTTTTTTCCCGCATTGAAACGGCTGTACGCCGTATGGACCTGAAAAACTCAGTTTCCCTGTACAAGAATAGGGGCTAAACCGTGTGGGTTGACAGCTGTGGTGAACGCTTAACTCAAGATGTCCTTTAAAAACACGAAGAATCACCGCGGCAGCTATGGTTTTTTGTTATTGTAGATCTACGATGTGACCGCTTACTACGTAAAACCACTGCTCACCATCTTGCCTCCACCCCCCCCCCCCCGTTCTGCACCACTCCCTATTTATAACCCCTCCAAACATCTTCCCCGCACTCCCTTATTATACCCCCCGCATAACCACCCAACCAACCCTCTACAGAGACCCCCACGCCTTCCCAATCACACACCCGTTCCAGCCAAACAATGGCAGTCGCCCATTTAAATGCCACACAGCCGCAACCTCTCCCTCCGTGGGCCACTGTGAGCAAGGAACTGGCGCGGCGGCGTTCCGCCGCGCCAGTTCCATGCTCACAGTGGCCCACGCGAGGTCCGAGGCACCGGCGGTGTGCGGGGCGAGCTGCCATCCTCGTGCTCCCCTCTCCCGGGCACCGGCCCCACCAATGTTTGAGCCACTACCAGCTGCAGTCCGCCCGGACCGTTTCCAGGAAACGTTGGCTGAGGCACCTTCACGTTCAGCCAGCGTCACCCCCCCTCCATATGGAGGCGGGGGGGGGGGTTCCGGGGCAACCCCCCATCCCACCCGCCTGCCCCCCACGTTCTACCCTTTGCGATGGCACCGAGGGCTGAATGATCACCCAACGTTCCCCCACTGCCTCCTGTCTACAATTCATCGCATCGCTTCTTCCGATATTTCCGTTCTTTCCATCTGGTGAGCGTCAATAGAATTTGGCTCAAGAAGGCTGGTGGAGTATGACCCCCCCCACCGCCCTCCCCTTTGTCTTCGGTTATTCTTGTTGCTCACCGTGCGTCTCATTTATTCACCGTGATGCCGAACGCAGGAGAAGGACCGGCGCGAGAGTGTGCCACCAGTGCTCACTGCTGTCAGTGGCCAATGCGTTTTGGCATTGCGAAACAAAGACCCCGTATTGAACTGGCCGTTTGGGGAAAGTGCTGTAAAGCGAGAACTGATGACGGCCGACGTTGCATCTGGCTGCCCGGTGTTGATGATTACTCACAGCACCAAATACTTGTTTAAGGCTGAGTGGCCCTAGGGGAGGCTCAGCACCGACTCGTATATTTGTCACCAATGTTGGCTGTGAGTTGCTGGATTGGAGGCTTGGCCCATCGCGCTCGGTGGTGGTAAACAACCAACGATGTACAATTCTATTCACAGCAAAGACACACCGTCTGTGCGTGCATAATTAATCGTCCGAATGTCTCTTTTCAGGTTTCACGGAAACCCCCACTAACCTCCACGCCTCCAGCGACGATGACACGAGCATCAACATCACCTGGACGAGCGACTGCCGCAAAAAATGCTTATCGTTGGTTTCCATCACGGAGAACGTCAGCGGCAAGAGAGAGGTACAGGCGGCGGGAGGGAACAACAGCTCGGCCACGAGGCACGGCAACGTCGGGCAGAGCGTCGGCTGACTGGTTACCCATGAAGACGCAACGCCCCAGGAACAAGCGCTCGTTTTGTATTTTACTTTAAAACTCAGAGTCCACACGAACTGTTGTGATTAGAACACAATACTCATTCTACTTTTGCAATCCTGGCTTCTGGCGACGGTGACGATGGACAGTTTTTAACACGTAGGCTTTCGCAAACAATATCATCCATAATAGTCAGATTTGGCACGGTACATAAAATACAGAAATTAATATCTGGTACAAAAGATGTATTGCCGATGCTATCAACAGAAGGTGTGTACGGGATTAATTGCACGTGTGGTAAATGTTATGTTGGGCAAACAGGACGAATGATCAGCAGGAGACTAAAATAACATGAGATAAATATTCAATTCTCCCAAATGCAACTGTCAGCAGTAGCAGAACACGCGTGCGCCAACAAGGACACTCAATTGATTTTGATAATGTTGAAGTTTTGTGCAAAACTAGCTACTGCTGGCCAAGACTAATTAGAGAATCTATCGAAATTGAAGTAAATCAAAACTACTTTGATCGTTCGGATACCTACCGCCTTAGTGCTGCGTGGAAGCGAATCATCAAATAATACATTAGTTAAATGCATGCCTACAAAGGGCAGCGCACTTCAATAGGGATTACCATTGGTAGGGCTATTTTAATAATAGACAGAAAGGACAAGTTCACAGGGCTCGCATAATGCACATGCATCATGTACGTTGCCTCAGTAATCCCCCCACCCCCCACATTGTGCAAGAGCGCAGAAGCGTGGTCAACACATCTACGCCTCCATATAAGGAACGAAACAGTGAGACTTCTCCACAAATCTGGCCGTCGCCTGATGAAGCTAGTTGTAATTACTGGCCAAGCGTCGTACTCAGATTGTAAATGTTGTGGCTTGGCTCTCCAACACACCGGCGTGCTGTACTAGTGACGAATTGGCAACGTTCTGTTTACGTGTGAACCCTTACTAGTTGGCTGTGTTGGGTGGTGGCGGGTTTAACGACACAACATTTATATATTTACGCGCTATAACCCAAAAAAACCTCTATTATGAGTGCCGATGGCGATTACTCCGTCATTCACGGCCACCGACAACCTCGACCAATCTAAAAATTCTGAATTAAAAATCCTTCCCCGCCGAGCTTTTGGATCCCCCGTCCGTGGAACGAGGCAACAGACCCCTGCAGTCCCTGCGCGCGAGCTGATGGCGTCTTTCCGTCTCCTCGGCGGATGTCCTCCTTCGGCTGCCGTTCTGTCATTGAGTGTCAACCATCGGCCATCACTTTCCCTTTCATTTAACTTTTACACAGAGGGGGCGGCTGCGTACATTTTACTGTTTTAAGTGATTAGGTTCAGTTGTTGGGTTCTTGCAAGTACAAATTGAGGTTCGGTACATTTCGTGTAAAGGAAAACCCCGATTGTGGTAGCATGCGTCGACATCGATGATTTCCATCAACAGCAGACGACCGCCACCCTTCACAATCGATGCGGTGCCACAAAAATCCACCTGGCCCCTCCGCGTGAATTGACGTCGTCACTCCATCTCCACGGCGTCAGGCGCTCCGTCTGAAGCCGTGGGGATGGAGTGACTGAAGCCGTGGGGATGGAGTGACTGAAGCCGTGGGGATGGAGTGACTGACGACGTGGAGATGGAGTGACTGAAGCCATGGAGATGGAGTGACTGAAGATGTGGAGATGGAGTGACTGAAGCCGTGGAGATGGAGTGACTGACCACGTGGAGATGGAGTGACTGACGACGCGGAGATGGAGTGACTTGACGGCGTGGAGATGGAGTGACTGAAGCCGTGGAGATGGAGTGACTGAAGACGTGGAGATGGAGTGACTGAAGCCGTGGAGATGGAGTGACTGAAGCCGTGGGGATGGAGTGACTGAAGCCGTGGGGATGGAGTGACTGACCACGTGGAGATGGAGTGACTGACGGCGTGGAGATGGAGTGACTGACGACGCGGAGATGGAGTGACTGACCACGTGGAGATGGAGTGACTGACCACGTGGAGATGGAGTGACTGACCACGTGGAGATGGAGTGACTGAAGCCGTGGAGATGGAGTGACTGACGGCGTGGAGATGGAGTGACTGAAGCCGTGGAGATGGAGTGACTGATGACGTGGAGATGGAGTGACTGATGACGTGGAGATGGAGTGACTGATGACGTGGAGTGACTGATGACGTGAAGATGGAATAACTGACCACGTGGAGATGGAGTGACTGACCACGTGGAGATGGAGTGACTGACCACGTGGAGATGGAGTGACTGACGACGCAGAGATGGAGTGACTGACGACGTGGAGATGGAGTGACTGACCACGTGGAGATGGAGTGATTGACGACGCGGAGATGGAGTGACTGACCACGTGGAGATGGAGTGACTGACCACGTGGAGATGGAGTCACTGACCACGTGGAGATGGAGTGACTGACGACGTGGAGATGGAGTGACTGACGACGTGGAGATGGAGTGACTGACCACGTGGAGATGGAGTGACTGACCACGTGGAGATGGAGTGACTGACCACGCGGCGTCAGTCACTCCGTCTCCACTGCGTCAGTCCTACCGAGGGATATTCGTTCCTTTTCCAGCCTCGTCCTTTGGCCCTCATAGCGATGCGTCGTGCCCAAGCGCCTTCGCTTTTGTGGCCAGGTCGCTTCTGAACATTGTGCTGTATAGCTCAGTGGGCCTTAACTCTTAAATAAAAAGAGTAGTAGTCGTAGAATGTTCATATTTTCTGGGTCGCTGGAAGATCAGAGCAGGTGGCACGTGACTAGTACTCGTCACAGCTGTAACGAGAGGTCACCACTGCTTGTGCGCAGTGCCGGGCTAAGCTAGTGCGGGGCCTGGAGCATATGTTATTATAAAGGGGCCCTAAATTAAAACATAAATTTTTAACTTGCATAGTAAAGTAATTGTATTTTATTATTTGCTATACAGACAGATGCAACGACAAATCGCTAACCTTAAACAGCCAGTCGTTCATAAAAGTTGAAGGCGGTATAGTACTATAGTGATAGAGCAAGTGCAGAATCACCGAACCGGAATTGATCGCTTGAAAGCATTTGGCGCGGGGCCCTTGAAAGTGCGGGGGCCCCTAGCTACAAATGTAGCCACTTTTGCTACGAGGATAATCCGGCACCGCATGTGCTGTGCCTGGTGCAGAAACATGATTTAGACGCGTCTGAAAATGCAAGCGCTGCCGAACAAAACCGCACAAGTCGAATGCGACAACCGCGCGCGCCGCGTTGTTGTTTTTGCGCTGCGTGAGCAGATACTGGAGGTGAGGCACGGCGCTGATGCGCTCGTCGATCTGCTGTACAGCGTGAAACGGAATCTCTCCATCAAGGTGCGGACGCAGTTCGTCGACGAAGATGGTTGCCAGTGGAGCGCGTGGAGTGAATCGCTCACCCTGGGTAAGCGCAGTGAGTGAAACGAACGCACGCGGACGGGAAGGCAAAAGAGCAGACTAAGGCACCTCCCCGGCCCCACTGCATATTACGAAAGAGATTTTCGCCGGTTGTAGCTGCACTGCGAGTTGTTCAGCACGATGTCTGACGTTTTGGCTCCATGGCCCGGGAGCTTATTCAGCACGTGGAGCTGAACGTCGGACATCGTGACGAGCAACACGTGGCAGGACCCAGAGGACACATCGCAGAGCTGCGCCGCATGTTGTCTTCGTATTTGCTGTTCCCAAACACAAAGACACACTGGAGATAAGACAAAGATCTCCCGTGTAGCCTTCACAGACTGTTGGAGCAAGTGCTGTTAGCGAGTAGCACCTATGAAGGCCGGCACGGCACACGAGGGGGTGGGTGGCCAGCACCACGCCCGACCGCCTTTGTCTCCTCAGTGGCGATGTTTACTACACACCGCACCAGATACTCATTTGAGGCCGAGTCGACCTAGGGGAGGCCCAGGAGCGGTTCAGATAACCGTCACTGCTGTTGGCCGTGAGCAGGAATCGAACCCGAGCCGGGTTCACACTCAGACTCAATCAATGAACTGCGTTCTGTGTATTCTTTGGGTCTTTCGGTAAAGTCACGTAGCTAGGTTCAAAGAAAATAACAAAATAATAGCAAACAAAAAAAGTTTTTTGTGATTAAAAACGACTATTTTTCATTATTTTTTGTCATTTTCTTTGAACCTATCTACGTGACTTTACCGAAAGACCCAAAGGATATGAATTCCTGCAGTCATGAAAGCTTTAAGTGGAGATTTTTATCAGAGATTTGTTCATGAAGCAATTCAGATCTACAAACACAGACACAATTTCAACCGAGAGGATGGTTTCAAATTAAGCAACCATTGGAAAGATGTTCTAAATCGAACTAAACATTAAACTAATTTCAATTGTACAGTATATTTTTCAAGTAGTGGTACCCCAAACTTTCGCAGCTCTAATAAATTCCCCCTTTTCACACCATCAATAGGTAAACTCCCCCCTCCCCCCTTCCCCCCCGCGCCAAACTGCGAGTCCACCGGCACGTACACCACCTCTTTCCTAAAATCCGCCAATCAAATGCTAATTTTTATGCTAATTTCTTTGTCAGAACACCTTGTTTGCTCGCACACAGGTCCGATGTCTGAGCGTGGTTGTGTTTCGCTAAATTCTCCTGTTTGATGAGTACTAGGTGCCTCGGTGAATGTATATGCTCTAACTTTAACATAGCTATTTCTGTGACCAGTTACAAGCTAATCACTCAGCTATTTCAATGCTAAATTCGATGCTAATTCCTTTGTCAAGGGGTACCTCTGCGGATGTGTATACTTTAACTTAGCTATTTCAATGAGCCATTTCAATGCTAAATTATATGCTAATTCCTTTGTCAAGGCGCGTGGTCTTTTTCTTCTCACACAGCTTAAAGGTCGTGATCTAAGCGTGGCTTCTTCCACTCCAGCGCTGTCCTCCAGACAGTCTCGTCCCTTCACCTGATGAAGGCCGCTTGTGTTGTGGCCAAAACGTCGTGATTTTTTGTTATTTTATTTTCATCTACGTGACTTTACCCAATAGAACCAAAGAGTATGGAGATTTTGCGTTCTGTATGTTTAGTTGTCCGTCTCCGCACTTCCGATTAGCGCGGGTTGCCTTCGCACGGTGCGTGAAGAAGTTCAACACACCCAGACATCCATTCAACGGCAAATAATCCCAATGCGTAAGGTGTGAACATGCACAGTCTATATTTAAAGACACCCCGTGTACGCAGTGCTGTATGCAGCGTATACAATGGCAGGAGTGAAAATAGTATACAAACAGGTCATGATAGTGATGCATATGCAATATAGCTATGCCAGTAATGTATACCAAAGTTCACTAACCCAACTATATGTATGCCATGCAAGTGCGCTGTTTATAACCCTACATATTATCCAACAGAAGAAGATGAAAGGTGCAGCTCTTTAACGTTTTACTCACGTCACTGCTGACAGAAGAGTCGTCCTATTAGACGGAGCTCTTGAGAGTTCCTAAATATGTAAACCTGGCCTTCTCTTTCACACATCCCCGCCTCTCACAGTTTCACACACACACACAGCACATTTGTCAGTGGCATTATCCGCTTCCAGGAATCAGATTCCAGACCGCCGGTTCCCTGGCAAAGCGCTGTTGGCGAGCGATGATGCATGAGGGCTTCAGGTGGCCACTGAGCCTCCTCCTCTATCTCCCCAGCAGGTGTTGGTGCTGCGTGAGACCCGGGGGCGGCCTATGAGATAAGCTCACAGACGGACACGCGCATCACGAATTGTTATCAGTGCGTGGGAATTTACCTTTGGGTCACCGAGCGATAAAGCGCCGCGTCACTGGCTCAGAATGTACACAGAGACAAAGATCCCCCGTGTGGCCTCAACAGACTGTAGGGGCAAGTGCCAGAACGGTGCACGAGGGGGTGGGTGGCCAGCACCAAGCCCGACCGCCTTTGTCTTCCTAGTGGCGATATTTACGCATCGGGCCAGGTTACTCATTTGAGGCTGAGTCGACCTAGGGGAGGCCCAGGGCCGATTTATATAATCGTCACCGGTGTTGGCCGTGAGCAGTAATCGAACTCGGGCCGCAGGGTTTGTAGCGCAGCGCAGCGCTAACCGCTGCGCCACAAATCGAGCGGTGATCGATATTCTCTCTGACTTACCGACTGACTCAGTTATTCAGTCACCTGCTGATGGGTGCAAAACGCACGCACGCACGCACGCTCTCAGCGTGGTTTCATAACAAATTGCAGTCGCTGCGGCCGTTCGATAATAACGATGATGACGACGCTCATCACGAGAGAACGAACGTTGGCTGAGAGAACGCAGCTGCGAGGCGGTGCGTGCCGCCCCCCCCCCCCCCCAACGTGAGTGATTCATCCAACAGTGGATAGGGGATGGCTGAATTTGACGACGACGACGACGAGAGTGACGAATGAGCAGTGAATGCTTTGAACAAATGGTTCGTAAATGACAGAGATGATGTTCACGGAGGCACGAAGGTTAACACAAATCGTCATCCCTTTGAGAATCAACTGACGAATGAAGGCATCCTTGTAAGCTGTCAGTAATTGTGGCCACACTTCACCATGCCGACCAGTGCAGGTTGGTTTGGGGCTGGTAACACCGGCTCTGCCATCGCTCACCATTGATCTCGTCCGTGGCCGCACGGCACACGCCGCGCCGCCGATTAAACGTGAAAAGGGATTTCAACGAAATTTCAATTTGGCCGTTTAAATAAAAACACGGCTCATTTGCAAAACGGTGTTTTTTCGTCGAAATTTGCAAAACCACACGGTCACATGATGGGCAACATCTAGATGTAGGCTGGCAGAGCTTGGGCAATAGTTGGTGCCTGCTTCAGGCTGCCGCTGCCGCCACCATTCCGTCTTGTCTCTGCCGTCTCCGCCACGGCTCACGGATCTACGGAAACCGTGGGAGCTGCGTATCCCTCACTTGTTGTGTTTGTCGCTGTCACTCGTGTGCACAAACGTTTGCGATATTTACATTAAGAGGGTTTCAAGTTTCAATCCCCGCGCGCCGCCTGCCCCCGCCGTGTTGTCTAACTGCATGCCTATGCAGGTCACCATACGTCGGTGGTGATTAACTGTGATAAGACAACAGGTAGGTAACGCGATTTATTGCACCCAAAAAACGGCAGGATGTACATGCATAATGTATGTTAATTCCCATGTGAATAACCCAACCGATAATGTATATCTAATGTAATGTCTATGCAAACATTAACCCCCCTCCCCCACCCCATCTGGCCTTCGCACCTGATTGGCTCACAGGTGATGACATCACATTTACCCAACCCCCGTCTATTTAAGAACGAAACAGGAGGGAGAATTTCTCCACTACTCTGGCTGTCGCCTGATGATGCTGGTTGTAATTACTGGCGAAACGTCGTACTCGAATTGTAAATATTGTGGGGTTACTCTCCAACACACCGGTGTGCTGTACTAGTAACGAATTGGCACGTTTTGTTTACATGAACAAACCTTACCAATTGTCTGTGTCGGGTGGTGGTGGGTTTAACGACACACATTCATATTTACACGATCTAACCCAAACGCCTCTATTATGGGTGGTTATGTCGGGAGTCTCCACCGCCAGCAACAAAGGTGACTTCACCCACGACGTGGGGTTCAACCTGGTGGAGCCCGATAGCAATCAGGTGACCAAGCAGGGCCAACCAGGAAATTCATGGAGCCTCTGCCGTCAATATCAATGCAATGGCTGCATTTTAGTTTGTTTCTGTGCGAGCACGTGCCCGTTCATGTGGCTTTAATTTTAGACACGGCTGCTGCAGGCCAATGGATGTTTTGTGATTGCTTCCGGTGTTATGGTGCATAGTTTCACGTTCCGAGTTGTAAGTCTAATTTTGTTTGACCTCGTGAGAACTCAAGAGACACGCGTGGTCACAATACAAACCAAAGTATAACATATTCTTGGTTCTTTCGGTAAAGTCACATAGAAAGGAAACAATAATATAATAAAATATGAAACAATAAAATTCTCACGACGTTTCGACTGCAACACAAGCAATCATTATCAGGTGTGAAAACCACAGCAATTTTCAAATTTTCTTGCTGTGATTTTCACACCTGATGATGATTGCTTGTGTTGCAGTCGAAACGTCGTGAGAATTTTATTGTTTTATATTTTTATTATTTTATTGTTTCCCTTCTACGTGACTTTACCGAAAGAACCAAGAATATGAATCCCTGCAGTCACGAAAGCTTTAAATCAAAAATCAAAGTATAACAATGAAGCAAACAGAAATCAGAGAGCGGGTTAAACGGTTCAAGACCTGTATTACCCCGGAGTGTTAACCTAACAAGGCGCCGTCAACTGAACTTTTGCACTTGTCCATCATGGAATATGATTGCAGAACCACGTGACCCGATGCCAGCGACTGGCAAGGAAGCAGATACATGGATTATGTGGCTGGCTCTGTTTATGGGATTAATGCTGCTTTTGCTCGGAGTGGTGATACTGATCCTTGTTGTTGGGAGAAGGTGAGGATTTAAGAAGCAACACAATTAATTTTTGGCAGGCATGTGTACCGAGGCATCGATTCCTTGATACATGCACTAATAATGTAATTCATCTAAACGCCATAGAGGAGGTGGGGGTTGAATCACAGTGATTAAAACCACTGCTGGACTAGGGCCTCTCTCTATCCCTTTTGGTCATGGAAGATAGCCATGGTCAGGAATCAAACTCGGGTCCCTGAGTTCAGAGTGTAGTGTGGTATGTTGCTTGACCACCACACCACCATCCACCCCCTACCTCTAATTGTTATCAGCAGTTAAACAAAAACAGAATAGCTACCAAACACGCACGTGTGGAGCGATGCCCATCTTGAATTTACAGGCCTTGTGAAAATTACATATTTCTATAACAATGTGTGAGTTACCAGCCCCCAACCGGGAGTTCAACGTGCATCTTTCCTTTTGCGTGTCAAAGAATCTAAGCAATGTGACAGCCAGCAGTGTGAAGCGTTGCTTGGAGAATATGTGCTCACCAAATACATTTGCTTGATTTTTAAACATTGGGACATCGTCCTTGTGAAACTTGCTCCCACATCTGTTCAGCAATTTTAAGCCTTGTGTTGTGCATTGAAAAGGCCAATGTTTTTTTTCTGTATTCTCCATCCTTTCTTCAGGTGTAAGTCTGTGTTGTGGCCAAAAGTATCAGATCCGTCCGTAATATTCGAAGAACTTTACACAAAGCACCAAGGGAACTTTGAGGTAATGTAAATTCAATTCACATTGACACATCTATACTTTGTCATTGCCTTTGTAAGCTTCAAGTTTTGGTGAGGTGGCTAGGTGGTTGAGAGGTCAGAGAACTGAGCTGACGCCACTGAGAATCTGGGTTTGAATCCAGGCAGCCTCCTGTGATTAAGCCTGTTTCTCAGGTGTAGAGAGTTATTGGTCGCGGCCTGCACGCCAATAACCGCACAAACAACATTTATCACATTAAATTTGAGTCTGCACTTAATTGGATAAATTCCAGCGTCAGTATTAAAATTATTGATTTAGCATGCGCCCCGGTGCAAACTGGAGTCGCCACAGTGGAGAGATGTTAACTACCTCGCCTGGTGTACAGGAAGGAGGTCTTGGTTCGTTCCCGACCCTGACGCCTGCTGCTCTATATTTAGAGTTTGCGTCTCTCTCATCATCATCACGGTGGCTATGAGATGTTAACTACCTCGCCTGGTGTACAGGAGGTCGTCGTTCGTTCCCGACCCTGACGCCTGCTGCTCTATATTTAGCGTTTGCGTGTTCTTGGATTTTTCTCCGGGTCCTCCGGTTTACCCCTCCACATTTCGGATCAACATCACCACGCGTTTAGAGTATTTGGCTGCAATACATTTCCACACGATAAGCCCCTTCGTCGAGATATAATTTGTGATGGCCAGGTCGCTTATGAAGAAGAGCTACCTAGCTCAATGAGTCTTACCTGGTGAAATAAAAACAGGAGAAAAATGTGTCGACAAAAAAAGGATATTAAACGGGGCCCCACTGTTCAATTTCCTCGAAACTCTGGGCAGCTTGCAGGCGGTGCAGTTGCACCACCTGCGCGTTTGACACGAGCGTCGCTGTTGCCACTCATGTGCCGCTTGCACGCTGTTGGGATTGTGCCGTTCAGAGATGGGCTGGAGCCCCCGTGGTGTCGAGCAAGGAGGTGGACTTGACCCAGGACATAAAGTTCAGCCCGGTGGAGCCCGAGAGTGAGGTGACCAAGCTGGGACAACCAGGCCAATAATGGGGCCTCTGCCTTCACACCAATGCAATGGCTGCATTTAAGTCCTCCTGCTCCGTGTGTGTGTGTGCGCGCGTTGTACACGCACGTACACAGTGGGCATGTGTTTCCTTGCAAGTGGTATTAATATCGATTTAAAGCTTTCGTGACTGCAATGATTCATCTTCTTTGGTTCTTTCGGTAAAGTCACGTAGAATGAGAATAAAATCCATCCCAGAAGAACTGCCTCATCAAGACTCTATACCATAGAGCCCAATGCATTTCCGACCAGGAACACATTACCAGTGAACTCAAGCACGTACACCAGGCTCTCAGGGCTAATGGCTACTCCGACTACACAATCCGCAAAGCCATCACTCCAGTCATGAAGAAGGATCCTCTTGTGGAGCCACTCAAAACCATCACCTTACCCTACATTGCAGGGGCCACTAAAAAGATCTCCAAAATCCTGAATAAACACAAGATCCAGGTCCGATTCAACACAGTACACAAAATCCGTGATTTAGTTCCATCTGTAAAAGATGCTCTTCCAGACATACAGTACCCGGGCGTTTACAAACTAAAGTGCCTCTGTGGTAGTAGCTACATTGGAGAAACCAAAAGACATATCTCGGACCGCATCCGCGAACATAAAGCAGACTTGAAACACGGTAAGACGAACTCCTTTGCCGTGGCAGATCACTGTTACAATTCAGTGGGCTCACATGACATTGACTTCTCCAAGACGGAGGTTCTTTGCAAACCAACTGGCTACCATGAGAGATTCGTTCATGAGGCCATTCACATATACAAGCACAGAGACAATTTCAACCGAGAAGATGGATTCAGGCTTAGTAACCACTGGAAAGATGTGTTAAATCATTTCTGTTCTTAATTAATTGTAATTTTACGATGACCTTCAGACCGCAGCTCTTTCGCCAGCATTGCCTCTTAATACCTCTCACACCACGGTTAATGGTATGGTTTACAACATGGAGTATACTAGGGCTTCGCAGCTGTCTCTCTCCCCCTCCTCTGTTCCGACCATGGACGAACTCGTCCGTCTGAACGGGGCCCGTAGCTATCCGTGGTACGGAAATTTGAGGGTAAGAATCCACCCATTTTTTCGCCATATAGCATTGTGATATATAACGACTTATGGTTGGTAGCTTAGCTGATTGGAGAATATAGAGTTTATTGATAACATGAAGGTAATTTATATTTTAGTTTTTATTGGTTCACTATATAGTACTGTGAATAGCTCAGATGTGTAGTCATTTCTGTGACCAGTCACTAGCAAATCACCCAGTTATTTCAATGCTAAATTCGCCTAGTTATTTCAATGCTAAATTCTCCTGTTTGATTTGTACTAAGTGCCTCGGTAAATGTGTATGCTCTGACTTCAACGTAACTATTTCTGTAGCAGTTACAAGCGAATCACTCAGCCATTTCAATGCTAAATTCTATGCTAATCCCATTATCAAGGGGTGCCTCTGCGGATGTGTATGCCTTAATTTAGCTATTTCAATGCTAAATTCTATGCTAATTCCTTTTAACAATGGGTGCCTCTGCGGATGTGTATGCTTTAACTTTTAACATAGCTATTTCTGTGACCAGTCACAAGCTAATCATTCAGCCATTTCAATGCTAAAATTTATGCTAATTCCTTCGTCAAGGCTCTTTGTTCCTCTCACACAGCTTAAAAGCCGTGATCTGAACGTGGCTCTCTCACTCCAGCGCTGTCCTACCAGACAGTCTCGCTCCCTTCACCTGATGAAGGCCGCTTGTGTTGTGGCCGAAACGTCGTGAGAATATTATTGTGTTATTTTATTTTATCAATTTATTATTTTATTCTCATTCTACGTGACTTTACCGAAAGAACCAAAGAAGGTATTAATATCGTCGCGGCTACTGGAGCCAATAGGCTGTTTGTGATTGTGACTACTCACACGGAATGACGTACACATTCAGGTTCCGAGTTTACGTTTATTTTGTGTGACCAGTCGAGAAAGCCAAGAGATGGAGGGCCGCCGTCTTCATTTGCAAATAAGTGACCTGGGCTGCCAAAATGGCAAAAGCTAAAACCCGGAATATAACAATGAAGGAAATAAAATTCGCTTTGAAGTCATCCATCAATATCGATTCTTAGCATCGCCAATACATCCGTAGAATTGTGCGTGTAAGAACAGAGGATTGTGATTGGTGGACGTTGTATGCCAGGGGGTTCACTTGTCCGCGCCATCCACGCGTGGTGCGCTACCATTCATTACGTCACAAAGCTAATCGATTCTTAAGCGTAATCGTGACCTTGAATCGTTGCAGTTCATCGCATCGACAGGGGGAGGATTTTTCTCCACTCATAGTTGCTATGTAGGTCTGTGTGCTGGACTTCTTTTGCACCGTACGTAGCCAACCGTGCTTATCGGAGGTGCGCGGGTGAAAGACAACAAACTAAACACAAAACGCAGTTCTAAAGAAAGTCGTTTTCAATCGAGATGATTTCAAAATGCATCGTTCCAATGGCTTCCTAATATCGGAAGGAAGAGCGTTCCAGACGGCCGTAGAAGCGCATCTGAAAGCGCCACGCGATGATGATGCTGACCGTCTTTGTTGAATGGCTGAGCCAAAAGCCGCTTGCCGAGAGGATGAGCGGAGTTGGCGTGGTGATGGTTTATGCTTCTTGACGAGATCAGCAAGGTATTGTGGTACACGTTGTAATGAGTGCCACCTTACAACCACGTATTCGTTCGGCTTTGTCACACACACACACTATTCCTGCAGTCCCCCTTGGAATGCATTAACCCAAGGATTTATACAAAGTCGCACATCTTTAAATATCGCCCTTTGTATTATACATTTTATATTTTAATGCGAGTTTGTCTATTGACATGTTATCATTGGTACATGTATTTATTCTTAACAAATGTAAGCAATGCGTATTGAAATTATATTAACATTTGCATATTATATATGTTTATACTAAATGCAAGTATATACACACTGTATGCAAGTCTATATAACACAACGCAATTCCTCATATCATTGCCTGACGATATGCATAATTATAACGCTTGAATGTCTATAATGAAGGTATGCAGGTTATTAAATAAATATTTTTTAAACAGTTTGACCTCGGTTGATAAGACGGCAAAGATCCCTCGTATAGCCTCTAACAAACTTGTGGTGCAAGCACTGTTAGCCAAGTGCTGTTAGCCTTGTTAGCCAAGTGCTGTTAGCCTTGTTAGCCAAGTGCTGTTAGCATTGTTAGCCAAGTGCTGTTAGCATTGTTAGCCAAGTGCTGTTAGCCAAGCGCTGTTAGACAAGCGCTGTTAGCCAAGTGCTGTTAGCCAAGTGCTGTTAGCCAAGTGCTGTTAGCACTGTTAGCCAAGTGCTGTTAGCACTGTTAGCCAAGTGCTGTTAGCACTGTTAGCCAAGTGCTGTTAGCACTGTTAGCCAAGTGCTGTTAGCACTGTTAGCCAAGTGCTGTTAGCACTGTTAGCCAAGTGCTGTTAGCACTGTTAGCCAAGTGCTGTTAGCACTGTTAGCCAAGTGCTGTTAGCACTGTTAGCCAAGTGCTGTTAGCACTGTTAGCCAAGTGCTGTTAGCCAAGTGCTGTTAGCACTGTTAGCCAAGTGCTGTTAGCCAGGTGCCGTTAGCCAAGTGCTGAAGTGCTGTTAGCACTGTTAGCCAAGTGCTGTTAGCCAAGTGCTGTTAGCGAAGTGCTGTTAGCGAAGCGCTGTTAGCACTGTTAGCCAAGTGCTGTTAGCGAAGTGCTGTTAGCACTGTTAGCCAAGTGCTATTAGCCAAGTGCTGTTAGCACTGTTAGCCAAGTGCTGTTAGCGAAGGCGTGCGGCGACACTCCCATGACGCCTGGGGCTTCGGGAGCGAGAGTTGGTGCAGCTTGTACAATTCCTTCCACCGTTGAAGGGAACATAACCACTGGATGATACATTATATACCTTTTCTTAAATGCACGCTTGCGTAATTATCCCCACGTCATCGTCACTTACCATTTGCCGATAGAGCCGTTGCACCCGTGTGTATTTATTTACGGGAACACACACGTGCGTTCAGTTATCAATGATGCCATTCCAAAATAATGTGCTTAGCAACAATCATGAAAAGGCAGCACACACGCACGTATACTGCTGCAGCAATGTTGCTGATAGTGTTTGCATGCAGTGGGATGATTCATTTTTGCATGCTGTGCTCACATTGCGAAGATTCTAGTCGCAATTTTGTGGTCAACTTCACCAGAAGCGTTGCGTAAGCAACTTACAAAAACATATTACAAAAGGGCTTTCAATCACATTCTGTATCCTTGAAGCGGACGAAATGACACGTTGAGAACAATCATGTTTCTCACTTGTAATGAGATATTATCAGTCTATATTTTATTTCATAATGTAAACATCTAAAATGGGGCAACCACAGTCCATTCCCGTCCATGACTGGCTATTGATGCCAGTGGCTATTGGTATCTGAACTGGTCCTGACCTCCCATTCACCAACCATCACAGAGCAGTGTGGCCATAGTGGGGGGCAGGGGAGGGATTCTTCATCCTGCAGTGGATTGATAAATGGTTTACAATTTATGAGTAACGCATAAAACGTATTGATAATATATTAAGTGCAAAACTGGCAGTGTCTTCTTGTAGCGCGTGTCTATGTTGTTAGATGTTAAACCCATGCATATTTGTGTATAGAGAACTGTGACATTCGAGATAATATGATATCAACAATGGAAAAGGCATATATACACAATAGCTCTGAGTCAGTGATTGGAATTTCCACATTCCAATGATGGGGGTAATCAGCACATCACACATATTGGTGCCCATATAGTTGTACTAATTATATTGTCAATGGAGGAATTATGGGCTGACTTACACCTGCTGGTTGGAAGTCAAATTCCGTGGCCACATTTACGGGTAATTTGTACACATGGGATAAAAATGAAATAAACTGTGGTATCGGCCAACTAATATGTGCTTACATAGCAAAATAAGACTATTTATCTGATGAGCTATAAAGCTATTTTTCACAGATGTTCAGTAGGGGCGGGTAAGAAAGTCACAACAAGAATACACGAAGGATACAAGACGAAGATAGAGAAAAGTTACGCGAGTCACTCATGTAAATATAAAACAAATATATATAAAAAAAATAAACTATGGAAGCACAAATTGCACTCCTGCATACATTGCTGCAGTTTTGGCAA